AAAATATGAAACACACAACAACTCATAATAATGCACCTGCTATTTTAACATATTGAGTTTGAAATAATAATAATAATAATAATAAAATTTAAAAAAATTAATAAAAAAAAAAAATTGTGTGGCGGAAAAAACTGTTATCTCATTTTAGGCACCTTACTTTTGTTAGCGTCTTAAAAGTACGAAATAAAATATAAAAATTGAACTACCTTTATCGTTACTAGTTAAGCACCATTGCTCCTGTTTTTCTTTTAAAATCTATCTAGTTATAAAAATGTTAACTATTTATTTTTTTCATGACGAAAATAAAATATTTTAAAAATATATATCCGCGCCGAGTTGTTTAAAAACAAAATATAAACTTTCATTTTAATTTTCAAGTATCCAAAAAATTATTACAAAAATAATAATAAATAAATAAATAAATGATTAAATAAATAAAATAAATATGATTAGATATTTTCTACATTTTTTCATGGCACGTAATATTYGAAAAAAATTAGATAATAATGCTTAAAAAACAAAAATGTTATTCATGATGAAAAATAATATCCTATGACAATAATATATTGATATTATGTATATTATGTTTTTATTACCGACAAAACTAATGAAGCTATTAAGTGCGAATTCTACATGTATTGGGTTTGCAAAAAAAAAAAAAATAGAAAAAAAATAAATAATAATAATAATAATATAATAACGAATCTAACATCTAAATTTTAGATATTGTTTACTATATATATATTCTAAACTATTTTTTTTCGACTATGTTAGGGAATATTTTGTTCATGCCACCAAGATAACTGATTTGGCTACGATGGTAGATGTCGCGTGATGTTTATGTGACAATGTATTTTCACGGCCTGGCTTTACAAACTTATATTATATTTTTAGCTTGAATCTCATGTACACGTGACGATTGCACCTATGATACTATAGATCAACATCTGTTTTTACACTTGGCCCTCAGAAAATCACATTTTGTTCCGAAACGACCGTTACGGTAGTGGTGCGGCAGCAGCCGTTTCAGAAAACCCGTACCACGCGTTTTACTATAATAATACCTAGTAATGATAATTTTCATAATAGTAATACTAAGTATAATAGTTTTAGTAATAGTAATAGTAATTATAATAATAATAATGATAAAATAGTTATTGTATAATAATTATAATATTAGCGTTGTTGTATTATGCACAGACCACGGAAATAATAAACGAATTTCCACAGGTTTGAATTAATTGATCGTATATTTATTTTATATATTCTAATAAAAACTGTAATAATAGAAATCAGATAATAAAAATTCACATCGATCGATTGTTTTATTGTCGTAGCAATAGTATTATTGTTTTAATCGTTTTAAAATACATAAAACACGCTCCGAAATATTTTGCAAAGGTATAGGTACCACTATAATACTACTATTGTCAAACCGTACACCTGATAAAGGGTGCAGTTTTGGCATCGTAAAYGGAAACACCCTCGGAAAGACCGAGCCCAACATTCATTGCACGATTGTCATTAAAAAAAATAAAAAAATATGAAATAAAAAAAAAAAAATATTTATCCATCAGAATCGTATCGCAGAAATACTCCGTGAAAATACATTGTTTCCATTTTGCATTATACTCCAAATTTAAAAAAAATTATATACATATATATGTATGTATAAAATTACAATATATTATGTAGCGTTAAGCGAACAAAATGCAATCTAATCGATCGTGAAAGACTAAAGGAAAATATTATCCCCATCGAAGCGTATAACAAATGCGGTCCGAGTTATTTCAGAAGATTACTTTTTTTGTAAATAACAAATTAAAAAATATAAATTTATAAATATATACTATAGTATATAATATATATTTATATATTATATATAATGTATGTAATGTACGAAATACGAAAAAAAAATAATAAGTCATTGGCGATTCTTGCCTTCGCCTTTCTCGCTTGTACTCCCCACCATATCGCTTCCTGTTGCCAGCGAGCTCGGTGATTTCGGGTATCCAGCTTGCCATCACAGCCTATCACCGTTCGGTTAACAATACAATATTAACATAATATTAAAAAAAAACCCAAACAAAAAAAAACAAAACAAAAAAAAACAAACAAACAAAAAAGAGAAATAATAATAATAATAATAATAATAATAAATGCTATATTATAATAAATCGTGTACATTTTTCTAAGATCGTGTATGAATGTATTTTATTATTTTTTTTTTTTCGTCCGTTTATCCGATTACGTCAAAAATTAAGAAATATAATACTATCATCTATTGACGTGATCGATTTATTATTATARAATTAGTCGTATTATTGTAAGTTGTGTAACAGTCGTATAAAAGCCGTCAGTATCGACGAATCGCGTCGCCTGCGCCCGCCCCACGAAAAAGTCATTAATATCTTTTAAACGCGGTCGCGTTAAGTCTTTTGGCCCGTTCACGTCGTCAGACGATATAGAATTTCGAGACACACAGAGATAAAGGAAGAGAAAAACAGAGGCAGAAACAGAGAGACAGAGACGCTGAGAGAGAGAGATATAAAGAATAATGGATTGCCGAATAAATGAAAAAAAGATTATTTCCGACGTAACCGAAAGAACCGATTAATTATTATTATGCGTGTACATGATAAGTATCGTATCGGCTAAACGTCAGGTCTACAACTAGTATAATATGGTAAAGTATATAGCCAAATAACCATAAAACATTTAACATAAAAACGACATTGCAATCATTCATTAGTGATGCGCCGAAGACCTTTTGTCGTCGGTGTCACCCAGGCTGGTACGGCAACCGCAGTAAACTCGATGGCCCGTTTTTTATATATATATAATAGTTTAAGGGGTTAATCGCACGTTGAGTAATACAATAATATATTTAAACTATTTTCGTTGCGTACACAGACAAAAAAAAAATATATATGTTATGAATTATGATGTTATTGTTGTATAGAATATATATAATTTGATATGCCTAATTTTCAGTGTACATAAAATTGTTTTAATAGTATTAGCGTAGTTAGAATCCTATTAGTCATCTTTACTTATAGTAACCTATTTTACGTGAAAACCCATGGTTGGTACTTAGTCGATTTTAAATTACACACAAAATAATACTATGTGATATCCCAAACTTATTAAAACAATTATAATACATAGGTATCATATAAAAACAATAATAATAAAATTTAAAAAATAACGACTCCAAATAATATTATATTATACTGCTCATTGAAAGCAATAATAACAAGGTATTTTCAGTTAATACGATTTTGTCTTGRAGTTTATGATCAATAATCAAAGTCACGTTAGAAAACCTGATTCTGATGAAGTAACCTGCATAGAGTAAAAGGTCATTGATGACTATTATATTATTATATAGTTATTACATTAATAATTGCATTTAATTGTTTCTGACAATACGTTATTTACATTATAGCTGTACACTTCTAAAATCAAATCTCACCAATGATAATAATTTATTTAAAATACCCATTACAATTATATGATGATAAYTTTTAAATTAGTCTACATTATATGTTATTACCTCAATGTTTTATGATATTTGTGTTTAACTATATGTATGTGGTTCAAATACAGGATTATGCAGCAGACAGAAATCGTATTGTGAGATAAAAATTAAAATAAAATGGCATGACCAAGAGTAAGAAAAAAATAACATAAAACAAATTACATGCAAAGAGAGGTTTCTTCATTAGGTATATTAATTGTATATTATGCAAAAAATTTGGACCAATAGAAAATAATTAAAACGTCAAAAATGTTTATGATTATAATTAAAATATCGTCATTTATTTAAGAAAAGAAAATGGAACAAGAAAAAAATGAAATAAAACCGTATTTTTTAAAAAATTTAGGTCATTAACAAATGCATGATTAAATAAAAAATAAAAATCTTACAAAAAAATCATCTAAATAGGTGGCAGACAAAATCAAAAAAAATGTTTAATATTATATTAATGCGGTTTCCATTTTACGTGTATATTGTGTATACCTCTTTCCATGTTCATGTCTGAACTCTCCACCATACTTTGATCTAGTTCCTACAAGTTCTATAATTTCTGGTATGCTACTAGCAAATATTGCCTAAATGATAATAAAAAAATAGATATAAAAAAAAATATATATATGAATTTATATGTATTATGATAATAAATTATTTTAAAATATGTAGGCATTATAATGTCTATAATATGATTAATAATGACAGTGTAATGTACAAACTCATCAAGCACACTAATATGCAATAATAAAAATATATATTGAATAATTCAATGGCCATTGTATAACAACGTCGTTATTGATATAATATAAGTTGTTATAGTAGGTATACTAATTATAATTTTATACAATAATAACTTATTCTATGTAAATATAATTAGTTAACTATTATTTATAATAATTATGCAAAACATGTATGAAAATTCTATTTAAATAGCATAATGCACACGTGTGTGTGATATATATAAACGATCACATATTATCATATTGTATTGAGAGATTTTGTGGATGAATTACAAAGAGACGTCATTGAATTATCCTAAAATATATCATTCTATGATAAAAATAATAAAATAATAGGTAATAATAAAAATATGGTCTATGTAAGTAAAATATAATATATATTTTGAAACGCCAATAACCCCGGTAGCTGAGACGTATTTGTTAAATAAAAAAAAAATATGATCAAACAAATTCTATGCATTGTAATAATAATATGTAACTTCGAAATGTTATATTATTTCGTCAACTGCAATTGTGTTCTACAATAAATGTAATCAAAAATAATTGATTCAGCGCGCCATAACCACCCTCGGAATTAAAAACGACCCCACTGATTCAAATCCAAAGCTAAACAGAACGCACAAATTTAAACGAATATTATTATATAGCCAAATAGTTTAACGATTCGTATATTATGTTCAATAAGCTGCCAAGCATTTTAGTGGTTACCTTGACATGTCAATGTTATATAATGTATTTAATATAACAACATAT